ATCTGATCGATTTCTCTTACATTGTGTGCTGAGACTGAAACTTTTCACCTCAAGCAAATCTCCGTCGCACGGCCCAAACAAACATAGCAAGAAACTGAGCTACTAGCATATATGTCCGTGTTAAAACACACGAAAGGTTTCTAGAGTACACTTCACTCCGATTGGGCAGAAAAACACAAAGATTTTCTGGCACCAATCAGATGGCAGAACGACTGCGACCGTTTGGAACTAGTCTTGTAAGACAATGTCCCCAGGGGCTCTTCATGCCCTAACTTGAAATCGACTCAGCCCCTGGGTCTCTGAGAATGGAAAAATTGGAGATATTCATAGCAAAACTCTACGGGAAAGGAGGGGGGGGGTGGTTATGCATACCTGACCCCCTTTCACCCAAGTTTATTATTAAGAGAAGGGATTTGGCTTTTCCAAAACAAACCACCGTCTAGAGCTCAGACTCTCAGGTCAAATAGTATACACGTACAGGAATTCACTCCTGGGTTTGTAGTTACCTTTAGGGCATGAATTGCAGGCATGTTGACACTTGTCAAGCATGACTTTAGCCCTGCTTTGACAAAAGCCGAGTCCAACCCAATGCTCACAGTTAGCATCATCCACCTTATTTTTACATTTCTCTGCCAATTCTTTCCCGACCTCTGGAAGAGAAGCACATGAAGAACATGTTTCTCTGTTAACCCTTTACAATCTGACATCAGTACGTATGCATATTCTCCATACTGTTCTTTACACATATCCTAAGGCACTGATAGGGAGAATTTGTTTAACAATAAAGAGCTTTTTCAGTTAATGATTATTTTCTTTATTCTCGTGACCTTAATGTGTGATTCAAAGTTGACATTGTGAGGAAAAAATAGCTGCTAATCACACTTTTGGGTAAAAGGGTTCATAGAGAAAATTCAGATTTTCTCTCCCTCTCTTACTCTCTTTTTGTTTTATTTTCGGAGATGCACTCTCCACTTGAAAAGAACAAGAGAGGCCATTGCGCACTGCAGTTTTACTGATCCACTGAAAGTTCCTGTGTGAGAATATCTTTTAGAAAAAAATGCCGTCCTTACTCGCCCAACCCTAAAAATAAGTTGGGATGTCTTATTTCCTCCCTTAGACATCTAGCGGTCCTTGAGCGCAATTAAATCCATACTCAAGTGTAATTATGATATCTTTCTTCGCAAGAAACTGTACCATTTCGTCGAAGATAATTATCCAAAAATCAAATCTGTTCTCTTTTCTCTTTGATCGTCGTCCACAGCTCGAGCCGCGCAAATTTGGCTTTCACGCCTTCGCTTTGCACTTGCTTGTCTAACCATAAAGATAACCGGCTACAGACTGCAGAAAGACTTAAGTGAACAAATGAAAGAGAGAGTAACCTAGAAGAATACATTACCTGGGTAACAAGCTTCACAGCTCAAGGGGCATTTCTTGTACATGTAATTGGAAAAAAGTTCACAGTAGCCTTTTTCAGTAAGTTTGTTGCAAAAACGGTGTTTGTCAATGCATGGCGACTTTTGACGCGTGGACTCTGAAAAAAGATAATATAATTGTGTGAGAAAATGGAAGCATAATCAGCGAACATCTGGCTTACCTGGCAATTGAAGCGAAAGGTGAACAACTTACCTCTCTCGTACAATCCTATTGATTGGCAGAGGTTGCAGCTCTGTTTGCAGTATTTCATCATGTACAGTGCTCTGCCGTGACAGTCCCCCCTTGCCGCCCAAGCTTTACAGGATCGATGCTTGTCCTTGCATGGTGCTGGCATCGCTGATAGAATCAACAAGAAAAAAATAAAACAGCATGGGCACGAATTTTCTTTGTTCTCATTATATAGAATCCAGCAGATAAAACAACACTGACTGTCTCGGTTCTAAACATCTGCAATAAAATGCGTATGTGTTCCTATCAGGATTCAGGCGTAAACATGCTCATCAGTGATCACACATCTGAGTATTCGAATGTGATTTTTTGAAGTCAAATACAGGCCACGTGGGGAGGGGGATGGGGTAATAACTTAGTTGACACTGTTTCGAGTTACACAAGGCACTACTCCGCTTTTCTGTTTGGCTATTTACTCTTTATCTAAGAGTTGCGTTTGTTTTTGTTGGCGTTACCGTTGATCTGATTTTTTGTCAGTTAAAATGAAGTCATCATGTAACCAGGCAAACCAAAACGCTGCTTGAATTTCAAGTGAATTCAGTTATTATTGAGGGACGAGCAAATTGACGACAAAGACCTGCCATAGTCATTTTAATTCATTGTATTCGATCTTAAGGGCTCACCTTCTTTTCTGTAACACAGTTTACAAGTTCTCTTACAATGATACGACATGTACTTTTTCCTATCCTCCTGTTCACAGTATCCGCGACCCTTCAGTTCTTCACACATGATGTCATTATCTAAACATTTTTCAGCTAAAATCAAAAGACAGAGCAACAAATTCTTAGCCATAAAATCTAAGGGTTCTTCGCGGTGCGATAATATCATGTTTTTTTTTCCACTGACTTTTTTTTTTACACGCTCGGCGAACTCAGCCAAAGCAAGAACTTCTTGTAGTCTAGGATACACATATCACTGGATGACTAGCCTGCAGTGCTGGCGTCTTGTTAGGGTGAGTTAAAAGAAGCGTGTGATCGTATATTCAACAGGCCATGTCAAAATTGGAGTTAGAATCGACGGTAAAGGAAGGGGCGGAAGGAGGCGTAGAGACGCGTAATATTCATTCCCCCACCCTCACCCCATCCTTATTTTTTCCCGTCGCTCACCAACATAATACAAATTCCTATTTCTCCCCAGTCTTCTGCTTACATTAAAATCAAAGATTACGGCCATAATTTTCGCTAAGAAAATACTGAACATACGTATGATGCACGATCCTCGCAGTAGATAGCGCTATTTATGCAATAGCGAAAATCAGACCTGAAAAAAATAAGGCCTGTACGGGAATCGAACCACTGACCTCTGCGATACTAGTGCAGCGCTCTACAAAATAAATAGCGCTATCTACTGCGAGGATCGTGCATCATACGTATCTAATACCGCAGTTCAAAATATATGAACTTCATATATTCATTGTATCTAAAATACTGAACACTCGCTCGCCAAAATTACGCCTGCTCTGCAGGCTACTGGATGACTTACTCGTGTGATCTGGACTAGTGTTAGAACACAGGTTACAGCTTCTTTTGCAATATTCTCGCATGAAGGCCTCTCTGTTGTTAGCGAAACAGTAGCCGAGCCTCGACCAGCCAAAACAGGCTTTGATTGTGTCCACACACGGGGGTCTTCTCTTCGGTCTTGGACTTGCCACGGTTTCAACTTTCCCTGGAGTTCAATATATACAAGAGAGGGAATATTTGTGTTAGGTAAGTCTTTATGAAATTGTTTTTAGCAACTTGCCAACGGTCTGACAACAGGCTTCTGTTTGTAAATGTTGAAAAAATGCTCGGAAAAGATCGGTGATTGTGGGAAGTTTGCTCTTGAATAAGTTGTTACACGAAAAAAAATAGCAACTGAAATAAAAGTAATAAAATGACATTGTTTAACAGTGTAAATTCTAACAAGGGTTTAGCCAGGATTTTTCAAAGGGGAGCTCACACCGCGTCAAACAGAGGGTTACTCACGAGGTTCTCATGTCGACCTCCATGTAGTATTTACTTAATGTGACAAAAAGAGGGGCTTACGAAGCCACCCTCCCCCTCCCTCTCCCCCCAGGCCAGCTACACCCTAGCCCAAGACCTCATGGTCCTCCCCTTTACGCAAATCACCGATCTGAACTTTATGGTCATAATGTTAGGTCATCCAATGTCAGAATTTAATTTTCCCCTTTTTCTACGCGGTATGAATTCACACACTTACTGCAAAAGTTGCAGGTTAAAGCACACATATTTCTCATGGAGGTCCTTTCGTTTGGTTTCGTTGATTCGCAGTATCCTTCGTCTTTAAGCCTTTTGCAGCGATATTTCAATCGATCCTTGCAGTCATGGGTCTCTGCGATCAAAATTGAAACTCTCGCTAGTTTAGAACTAGAACGCTTTTCGATTAAATGTCGTTAAACCAAATACAAAGTAATCTCAACAACCAATCCCCAGGAAGGGAAATACCCCAACAGTCCACAAAATATATATCAGTACTTAAAATGAAAACAAGCAAACTGCCAAAAGCGCGGGAAAAAAACGCGGGCGACCAAGCGAACTGTCAAAAGTGCGGGAAAAAGCGGGTGAACAAGCAAACTGCCAAAAGCGCGGGAAAAAGCGGGTGAACAAGCGAATTGCCAAAAGTGCGGCAAAACGTGGGTGACCAAGTTGTGATTGGTCTTAATTTTGTATCTGATTGGTTGAGAGAGTGGCGCGAGTTTTTTGGATGATAAAAATCAAAACAAAAATAGTGAATCGATGGAATATCCGTAATCCAAGACTTTATATTGGCTTAGCCATTATGGTGTATGAGCTAATATACCATAATCTACAAATATGGTAAGCGTACGCGTCAGCTTAAAATCAAAAGGGAGCTAAAAAATCCGGTTTCTTCTTATAAAATAATAATTTCTTGGGGGCGTTTTGAATAAAACAATTACTCCACTCGCGCTTGTTGGAGATGAGATGATTATAGCCAACTCGGTGCTACGCGCCTCGTTGGCTATCTATCATCTCATATCCAACGTGCGCTCGTGGAATAATTGTTAATTACATCATAAGCTCATGAGAGGAGCCCATGGTCCTTCCCTCTTCTAGGAGAGGAACAAAGACCGGACTCGAGAGAGTGGGAAAAACTTGTGCCCAAAAAACTGAGGAGAACTGAGTAAGAAGTTTCCTCACCAGCAACGCAAAATCCACAGCTTCTCCTGCACGCCTGCATCATGACGTTCTTGTATTTCTTATCAGTGCAGTATTTCCACCTGGACCAGGCTCGGCAGCGTGGATCTATGTCTATACATTTCTCTTCAGCTAACGATTAATCAGAAAAATTGTTGAGGATTCTTAAGGATTACAGCTAGCGTCAATTTTACGCTTTTTTAATATCCCCCATTCAATTACTTGTGACCGTTAGAGCTTTCAACCCAGCTGATACTATGTACCGCTTAAGCGGTCCTGCTTAGCTTATCTCATTTAACATATCTTTTGTCAAATAACCACCTCTCGCTCTCTCTTTCTCTTTCTTTCTTCTTTCAGCTCACATCTCGCAGGGCCGTATAGCTTTGCACAGCCCTACTCGCACCATCGTCTCCAGCCCTCATAGAGCCATGCGCGGGGCTGTACGGCTCATACAGTATTTTAGTGCAGTTATTACCACTGATTAGCTATTTTGCAAAGATCACCTGTAAATCTCTAACTAAGGTTTCTTTTTCGGTGAAATCTCCATACAAATCAAATCTTTTCGCTGAGTCTGTGTTTGAAGGGCAATGCAGGAATCTTTATTTATTTACCGTGCAACTCAATTTTCGCGTGCAATTTTCTGTGGTATGCTGCTCATTCTTGTCGTTCGCCCTCTCTCACCTCCCTCCCCTGGCCTCCCTTCCATCTTACCCCTGTATATAATTTGACACAGACTACTTACTACAGATGCGACAGCTTTTTCTACATTCCACGCGCATTACATCTGGTCGACTTTCACAATATCCGCTTTTTACCCAGAGTTCACAGGCGTCATTGCTATCTACACATTCATCGTCAGAGTTTTCTTTAGGTTCAGCCTCAGTTGCTATCAAATGAATAGAAAAAAAATAAGTTAGAAATTATTGAAAGAGGCGAATCAACGCATTTATATCCTACATGAAGTACTTTTCACTTAAAAATAAACGAATCTTC